AGATGAAGTACAAATCGCGGCGGATGGAGATGAAGGCGATCCACGTGAAGGTGTGACTTGTAGAGTTTTCGGGCGATCGGGTATCTCGGTTAGAAAAAATGAACCGCCAGTTGACGGTAGGCTTGTGGGATGTGTTTTCACATGCGTATGATCGGTCAGGGGAGAAGGAAGTTGTGAACTGTTCTGCGACTGAGTGCCACAACTACCTGACTGTCGGGCTCGACTTGGGATCAGGGAAGGTGCATATTTGCTCGACAGTGGGTTACTGGGAGAGGGGAGTGTTTTGGTTGTTTCCGTATCGTTTGAAGCTGATCGCATTAGAGGTCGTGACAAGAGGTCCGGAGAGGCACGAGGCGATCGGGGAATGGAAGAGCTAGTCATGTGTGACTGCCGCTTTCCATCTGCGATCAGAGTGCGTGATCCAGCAAAAATGGGGATACGATCTGGATGTTGACTGGAACTAGTTGGCGAATGGCGTTCATGCGGGGTTGAACCTCTAGGCGATGCGATGGAACCAAAACCAGGCGACTTAAACGAAAGAAAAAAAATTAGGCAATGAAGGACAATAGGATTACTCTGTGCTCTGAAGTATCTGTGATTAACCAAACGAGAAACAAACTTTGATATCAACCTACAGTTACAGACGCTTCCCAACGCAACCAACTAGTGCTTCATGAGATCTTACTCAATCACTTTATTAGCCACCCTTACTTCATGATAGCACTTTTATAATTGCTCACTTACATAGATTTTATTGCAGTCAAAAGTTTTTTCTCCTCTTCTTGGTAAATGAACTGTCAATGACTACATCAGTTCAACTACACAAAGTCATCAATTGTTTGAACGGATAGGAATCTCTGCCAATTAAATTAGGGGAGAACCATCCAATTTTACCCTAAATTTATTTGATCATTCTTATAGGATTTCCATGTCACACATTACAGAGCTGAGACTAAAAGATCAGAGACGCATGGTGCGAAATTATATATATAATAACCATTGAGTCTACTTTTTCGGTTGCGATTCAGGACAGGAGATTTATGACAGAGGAGAACAGATTGAAAAATCAACCCTGCCACTCCTTTGAAAACAACCTACCGATTGCAAACTGCAGCTGGCCCGATTGGTTTGATTATTCGCACGTGGAGCCAGTTGTAAATCTTTCGGTCGTAAAAGCTGCAATGAGACCTCGGTGGAGGCACACTGGGCAGTGTTAGTGGTATTGGTCATGTTTGTCGTAGTCCCATTGATTGTCGTTCGCATACCAGTCCCGGCCACAATATTTGCCTCGGTCAGCGTCCCTCCAGGCTTTGCTGAGGTTGGTGTGGTTGTTGGTTCATTTGAGGCGAGGTCAGGTAATTCATTTGACTTGCGTTTCGCTACTGGAGGCTTACTTCCAGTCAGGGACCCGACAAGCCCTGTGGTCTGATGTGATGCACTATTTGTATGGTGACGGCGATGCGGATGATGATGATGAGCATGATGATAGTGGTGATGGCGTTGATGGCTGTGTTGATGCGACGAAGGGATCGGATTATTTGGGGAATCCTGTGCACTGTCATTCTTTAGATTATTGTTGTTACTTCCGATTGTTTCCTCGTTTGCATGTGTGTGGTGGGTACGTGGACGGACGGGAATTCCCGGTTGAATTGAATCTGTCGGAGCTGATTGACGGGATTTAATGCGTCGATTGAGCCGATTCTGTCGACCCTCTTCTAGACTGTGATGTAATTCCGTATTTCCCGATGGTTTCATACCGTGAACGTGTCTGTGGGCATCGAATGTGTAGCATACACATGGATGTTGATGAACACAAGGGCAAACGGACTGATTTGACTGTAGACTATGCAACTCGGAACTTCTTTTCCGATGAGAGCTGTGATAAGAGGACGGTTGACTGGCCCGTTTGCTCCTTATCACATTTGGAAGTCGTTGGATGGACGTGCTTGGATCCAAACTGCCACCACGTCGTGCACGTTCTGGTTCGTGGAACATGCATGACAATGGAGTACAGCTAGGTGCAAACCAGTGATGATGATGATGATGGTAATAGGGGCACAATTCTTCCGTTTGGGCGTCCAGAGATGAAGTGGAAAAGGAATAGGACGATGCAGATGAGAAACAAGGACTCTCTGCAGCAGACAGAGTAGCTGATGTTGCATCGTCCGCCCGATGCCGTTCGTCGTCAGACAGATAGCACAGTACCTCGGTGGCATCTTCGTCCGAATAGGACAGACATGATACACCGGCACTATGTTCCGCCGACCAAGGTAGAGATTTTAAGCATGATTTCAATCGTTTGTTATGCATGCTGTTTGTTCCACGCCATAATTTTGGAAGCTGTCCTGTAGGTCGACGACAATTCTGGGTCGATCGACTTGTTGCCATCTGCGTGGACCGAAAACCAACTGGTGTTTGTTGTCGAAATTTTAACGCCGGTCTCGTGCTACGCGTGCACGGATCGACTGAACAGGCTTTTTGTCTGCCACAACCAAACTCGCATATTGCACCAACATTTCCAATCACATTCTGTGAGCCAACATCGGTACCATCGGTAGTACTTGTGTTGCCCGTCTCCATGTCCTCTTTGCTCATAGAAACTGAGGATTGGGTTACTTGTGAAGCACTGTTCAACCGTAGTGAATTCGATTTAGTTAATGCGGATTGCTGATGGCATTTACATGGACAATTTGCTGCTCTCCGACGTGAACGAGCCGTATCGGGAACGAAGAGAACTTTCCTGGAAGTGTATTGCTGATCTAAACATTCACGTCTGTGTAACAGCATGGCGAGATTCACGTGTTCCCAGGGTTGTGCTTTATGCTGCTGCTGCTGCTGCGGTTGATGATTATGATGATGAGTCGATGTTGCCAGGGTTTGTGATGTAGTGTTTGGCGGACCCGGATGGTGATGATGATGACGATGGTGGTAGTGATGACGATGCTGGAAATGAGACACCGGTGTGCATCGATGCTGTTCTGCTTGTTCACATGGTGGGCATTGAACTGGTTCCGTATCAGTCAAACCCTGTCGCGAACCACGACACGGAGTTGGTGAATGCCCAATAGTTTCACAATGCACATCCCCTCGGTCTTCTAGATCTCTAATCGGATCAGATATCACAGCAGTACAGCCCAGTTCTGATGAAGAGGACGAGGTAGACGATGATTTGGACGATGTAGAAACAGTGGAAGACATGGACGACACTGATTCCGAAGAAGGAGAGGCAGGCATAGAGGTGGTTGTAGAATAGCCTAATGTAGATAAAGACCCATTCTGATTCGCTTCGGACGATGTGCCGAGGATTTTTTGTGTGGTTTCCGATTGGACTTTCGATTGTCGAACTGGCAGTACGGGCTTTAAGTAAAACAATAGGGAAGAGATTATTAGGAATGAGGAAAAAGAAACGCACCGATCGATCAAGCTCCTCTATATACGTAAGACAATTTGAAAATGCATCAATATACATACTGGAGATGGGATTATTGTCAACCAAAGAACTCACCTGTCTCGTGGAACGTAATCGATTAAGTTTATCATTAGACAATGAATCCAGATTTTCATACTCCCCGACCACATGTCGACGAAACGAAGAATCTCGCTGTCTGGGTGATAAATCACTCACAGTTCCCGCTTGTCGGGTCATTAAGTGTCCCGGATCCCGAGTGGTGTGTTGCTCCTCACACAGATTCGGATAGGTAGAGCTGAGGCACAAATCTGGCGGTGGTTCACCCGACTTGATCCAACCCGTGGGTGCAAACAATGCATTTGGTGTACCGACCGGATCCTGGGATCCATCTAGGTCGCCGCGATTGGCACTACGATTTGTCAAACAACGACGACGACGTTGGGACAACTGATCCCAAGAGAGATTGACAGACTGTCGAGGACTGGAATCCGGACCGGTGTCCGGGGCACGCAAATCGGAAACACCGACCGCGGGAGGGTTTGGCGTAGCACTACCAGTCGAGTTATGAATTCCTTGGATCAGATCGAATCCATTTCCATCCCCGGATCCAAAACTGGTGCCCGGAGCAGTCAGATTGCCGAAAGAACCACAGGCCACACTACTGGTTCGTGTGTCCAAACTTGATAACACGCGGAACGTGCCGTTTGATTCCATATCGGTCGAACTAGCAAGACTCAGCTATGGAAAGTATCAAAAAAGGTAAAAATGAAACCCAATTATTGGGAAGTACTGAACTTTGTTATTCTCACTGAAACTCCAAAAAACTGGTGGTAACAACATTTGCGTCTGAAATGAACAGTACTGCTTAAAATGAGAGATCATGATATGAATCATACTATTCTATAGTCAATTCTAAACATTTAGCTAAAAGTATGTAAGCAAAAACACCGCTTCGTAGGACTAAACTGTTTCGAGCAGAGTTAGTTGTAAATCACCTAGAATACTGCCAATTTTAAAGTACCCTCTTTTGTTTTGCATCAGTTAACTCTTGTTTGACAACTGATTTTTTTCAGAAAAACATTCGTGCATTTCTAAAAAAACTCTGGATTTCGTGAATCGTAAAGGTTATATCCTTGTGCGCCTTCCACTCAGGATCCATCTGAAAAACTCGAAAAAATAGAATTAATAAATCTGATCTAGACAGCCTGAAAGTAGGACAGATTCTGGTCAATACCGTGCATAACAAGCTTGTCATGTATATGCGAGTCCCAGATACGGGAAACGTGTATTCTCCGTGTCCTAACTTGATGACCTCTCAAACTCCATCCTCTCTTTCACATTTTTGTTGGCTTATCATGTGAACCATTCGCAGTTGGGATGCACAGAAATCATGCAGAACGTTAATCGTATCATGGTACCCTACTCGTTTCTTTTTCTTACTAGTCCCATATGGGTTTAGTTGTACAACCAACCAAATAATAATCTAATTATTTGTCACGACGTGTTTAACCGATTGTGTTTCACTTTCAAACTTACTGGTCTCTCTCCAGCTCCGCATCGTTCACCGCGGAATGCGGCCGCATTCACATAGTCTGGCGAATCAATTGAATTTGGCTCCTTACGACGTCGTCGACGGCGGCGTGGGGCCTGTGGATCCGACGCATTTTGTTCCAAATCGGTCGGATCAGGACGAGCAGTTTGGCCAGATGAGTCCGGTCGAGAATGAGACTCTTTTGAATGACTGTCCGCATGCTGATTACGTTGCCCGTGGGATTTGGAGTGTCTGAAGGATGAGGTGGATGAGGGAGACCTTTGTGGTATTTTAGAGAAACTTCTGAATCAAACTGTTGGTGGTGATATATGATCAGAATTGTGAGTCACCTGAAAGTTCATTTGTCGTTTATTGATTCATTGCTTTTTCACCGTTACGCTGCAAATAGTTTATGGTATTCAAAAAAAGACTCTCTGCAGGAAATAATACTATCACATGTAATGTCGTTATTTGGTCACCCACTATGAAATGTGATAAACAGCAGAAATGGAGAACCCGATAGTCACAATAACCTAATATTCGCTCAAGGTAATTAGCAAGCTGAGCCGTGGCGAACTAAATGATGCCCCAGTAGGACAGGAGTGCTATGACAACTGCCAACAGCAGGGTTCGAACCGGGACCTCAAGGCCCAATTAGGATGACTTTGATTGTTTGGCTATCCGCAACATAAACCACTTCAGGCTGTATAGCTGTGTGATGCACCTCATCGCATCGTTGAAGCAGGCAAAATGAGGTATTAAACTAATATCTATTTTGAACCCCCAAGCAAAACAGTCTGCACATGGAGTGATCGAATTTGTAATTCCTTGCAAAACGCCCTCTTCCATAAGTGGATTCAAGCACCGCTGTACAGCTCGTCTCAATCGTAACATGTTTTAACACTCAGAATTGCTCTGTGAATTTGCCCAACCATGTGACCACTTGGATCTGTCCCACCCCGTCTCATAGGGGAACAATATGCTTACTTAGTTCGTTTGCTTTTCGGGCGTTCAGTTTGACCCAGATCCACTTCGACTTCTTCGATTTCCTCGGCCGCTGTGCTTGACGAGAACATTTGCAATTCCTGACTCGCGGTCAAATTCGGTGTGCTCACACTGTTTGTGTGCAAGCTGTGCTGCTGGAGCAGTGCTTGTCGATATTCGGCCAAAAGTCGATGAGCCAGCTCGGTCTCCTGTTGGGCGAATGACAAAAACAAAACAAGCCCAACAGATGTCAATTTTGAATGGGATCGGGAAGGTAAAGCTTACTAACTGCGAAATATTTACTAGTTGGCACATTCTGTCCTAGTGTGACACTGTGGTATAAAATGATTTTTCACATTTAACTCACAGTTTATTGTGAGAAGTGGTGTGGGATAATTTGATATTGATTGCTTTGAACTGACTATCCTTCGGACTTCACCTTCACGCACAATCCTCAGGTCATCGATTCAACCATACACTCGGAAGCAATAGACTCGAGTTTCGCTCTTATTAGAACTTATCAGTAGTGCATATTCACCGTCCCATCCGGGATTTGAACTCCGAATCCATCGCATAGGTGTGTGAGTTAACACTATACTAACCAGCTCATACCTGGTCTGAACCGAATTGCCAATTTTTTTAGGGTGTCGTCTTCCGTGATAGTTAGTCAGTTCAATTGGCCCAACAGAAACGAAGGAAGACACAGATGACAATCTGTTAACTTGGGCGGTAGTGGCCAAGTGGTTAGGTCACCAAATTGTGACCCAAAAGTACCGGGTTCACACGACTCCACCGCCACCCGT